TAAATTAAAGAGGTAATCCAACTTTTCCGTTCCCTAAAGGTACTCTTAAATCTCCTACATTTTTCTTTAATAATTAGAGTTTTCTGTGAAATGAGAATAATAATACCCACACTGATTATTTCACCGAGTTGTGGTGAGAAACAGATCAGGACGAATAAGAAGATACCGGGAGGGGCCTTATCCACTAAGAAGTGGACATTGAGCGTCTTTGGTGTAGAACTGTAAGGCTGGCAGACACCTCCGCCGGCAACAGACAAGGTGCGTGCAAGGTGGCGTTAGTGCAGGCCACTCTGCCTGTCTATGGAGGCAACGGAACTGGAACCCAGGCTCTCTCCATGAAGCCATCCTGCCACGTCATGGCTTTTTTAATGACCCATCTCAGGAGAACACCACTTTATGGTTTTAAATCATTGGAAAGGAAAAGCACAAAGTATAGCTCAAAGTAAATGTTTTCCTGATGAGCCTGCATGGGTCAGAGGGCCACTTCCAGTAAGCGATGCCACATGAGCCGTGTGTGTGCGAGACGGGGGTGCTGCCTGGCCTCTCTGTGCTTTAGTTTCCTCACCAGCCCCATCCTCCAGTTGGTGTTGTTAAGAGGATTAAATGAGTTAGCGCTTTAAGGAGAGGAGAGAATATGGCCTGGCACGTAGTCTGCACTCCTTGAATGCTTGCCATCATTATTCATTATGATTTATTTACACACAGAAGATGCATACCTGCCTCCTGACAGCAAATGAAACAAAACAACAACAAAACAAATTAGGAAGCTACTGTTAGGTCTGCGGCAAGCCATTTGGGACACATCACTAAGGCATCTCTTGAAGAGAGTTGGAAGGGAGCAGAGTACCTAGAAAGAGTGACAGTTCCCGAGACTCGTATTTCGTATTTCCTCTCCAGAGAAGAGCTTGTTAGGTTCAGGCCGGGGCCTGGCCTCGTGACCGTGGTACACGTAACTCTGGCAAAGCCCAGTAGGTCCTGTGGAGGCACCAAGTCGGCCCTGGGCATGAGCCTTGGGAGGTGCAGGGCTTGGTGGCTCCAGGGAAGATGCTAATGAGGTGAGATCTGCCCTGAACCTCCACAAGGCAGCCTGGGAGAGCTTCCAGAAGCAGAGGCTGAAAATCACACGAGTCCTGAAACTTACCATCACTCCCCCTGCTCCACACACAGCATCTCAGCTCCACCGCAGTCAGGCTCATGACTCCTCCAGACCCATTTCCCACCACACTTCTCTGCTTGGCCCTGAGCCTCACATCGCTGCCTCCTGCTACTGCCACCTCAGCTCTCACCTACCCCATACCCTGCGGGGGACAGCCAACTTTGGGGACTAGCTAAATGCTGCTCTGAGAAGTCTTTCTAACCACTGCCTCCTCCACACCTCTTCCCCATCCCCCCAGCTTATGCTTCTGTTCCTGTCGTTCCTCCATTCTTACTTGAGTGATTATATATTGTTCCCAAGTCTTCACAGCCACGCAGGACCTTCCTCCTCTGAGTCATTCCCCACATCCTCCCTTTAATAGTTTGATAACACTACCCTCTTTTTCTCGCTTAAAGATTAGACTTCAGGATCTCCTGGTTAATTTTCACAACCAACACTACGTGTCACCTAATCCTTATTATATATAATCCTTTCTACATATTGTTGGGGTTTGCCGGTTACCTTAGCGTGTTCACCTCGAGTCCTTTCAGTGCAGGCAAATATAGATGTTCTGAGCAAGGACAACCCCTGGGCCATGGACTGATAACAGTCTGTGGCCTGTTAGGAACTGGGCCACACAGCAGGAGGTGAGTGGCCAGTGAACAAGCGAAGAAGCTTCATCTGTATTTTCAGCTGCTCCCCAGCGCTGGCATCACCGCCTCAGCTCCATCCACTTCAGATCATCAGGCGTTAGATCCTCATTCAAGCACCGGTCCCTGGTGCCAAAAAAGTTAGGGACCGCTGACTTAGAACATTGAAACTTTAGTGCAGTCCATCTTCCAGCTGCCTGACAAGGAAGCAGCTTCTACTCAGAATAAATATAAATGAGCTAATGCTGAAACTGCAGAAATTTTCAGTCCATATCCTGTCTTGAGTGATTCTCTAGCTATTCACTTAGACCTTAATTCTAGGTCTCTGTCACACTCAGAGTTAAACCTTGTGGTAAATGAGAGTGGGAGAGTAACTGCAGGACGGCATGTGTGACTTCCCTGTCAGACTGGTTTGAATGCCCTCTTTCAGTGGGCATGAAACATTAAAAAAATAAATGGTTATGGGCCCCAAAAAACCTGTGGAGTCAACATATGCCTGAGAAATTGCCATTTTCACCTTTAATCATTGTAGCCAAGGAGCTGTGAACAGTGGTGCTAAATTGATTACAGGGCCATGGTCTTTAGGAAAAGGAAGTTCCCATAAAAACTGTCTTCTCCAGTATGGATCAGGAAGAACACTAAGAACCTCTGTTTAGAGGGGGCATTGGTGGGGCGATGGGTGGGGGACAGAGCCTGAATGCAGAGGAAGAGGTTGGCAGCATGCGATGGAACTGCAGCTTCAAAGAAAGACCGCGTGGGGCCTGGAATGGGGTCTGGAGAGCAAGTCCTGCCCTTCCGGGATCCCTGCGAGTGGGCGGGATTAGAGTCCAACATAGAGAAACCACTGGTCCTTCCAGCACTTCCTTGGTGCCTACAGAGTTGCCTCTGTGCTTCCCAGTGGTAAATGAGATCATGTTTGGTGAGATCTGGACGATAATTAGCACCCTTTGTTACATGCTTTCCATGTGCCAGGTGCTTTGCTAAGTGCCTTATGGGGAATATGGTCTTTAATCCTCCCAGCATCCCTTGGAAGCAGGTTCTGTAACTCTCTTTATAGATGAGGAAATCGAGGTCTAGAGAGAGGTGAAATCATTTGCCCACAAATGACAGCCAGTAGTAGAACTGGGATTTGAACCCAGAGACTATCTGGCTACAGAGCCTGTGCTTACCTTAACCTCCACCCTTTTAAATAGCATTTCGTTCTAATGAAAATTGATAGTGTAATGTTCAGAAGGTTAGAGTAAAAAAAAAAAAAAAAAGAAAAAGAAAAAGCTTCCTGATTTGCCAGGGGACTTGGTTTACAGTCCATAAAGGAATGATTATGCTGTCATCGCCCCCGACCCACCCAACAAATGTGTTTTCGGAATTAATAAATTCGTCATCAGGGTTCTAAGAACCTTAGATGACTGAAGATGCTTTGTTAAATAATGAGCAAATGAGTTTCCACATCCATATTCAAGACTTAAGTCCCCAAACCGGGGACAGCTTTCCACCAATAGCCATTTGCACACATTCAAAGTCAGAAACCTAAAGTTGTTTGTGGAATACCATTAAGGCATCCGAGGGACTTCATCTGAGTAAGAATAACTCCTCTGAGGCAGACAGGGGAGGTGGGTGCCCAGCCTTTTGTCTTTAAAAACCAATCGTTCCTTTCCAGTTGGCTTGCTGAAGAAGGAGCTTGGTAAAGTGGGTCAGTTAATTTTACTCCTTCAACCTCATGCTTGTTACTCCTCTCCATCTCCATCACTTACTCTGATTAAGTCAGCCTGGCCTTGTTGGGAGCTGAATTACTGCAACAGGACTCCAAATTGGTTTCCTTACAGTGTTTCTGAGTGGGTGTGTGATAATTTGTAGATCCTTTGTATATAATTTTATCCTTTGTCCGAGCCAAATGGAATGACAGAAATCCAAGCAGGTAATATTTTCCCAAGAAAGCTATAAATTCTTTGTTATAAACTGCAGGGCAAATAGTATTTTTATAGTTTTCAAGGGAAATATAAAAAATAGATGTTTTTGAAATGATCATATAGTTGGTATTTTAAAAAATGACCTAAGAAATCTTCTCATGTGAACATAAACTGTCTCTCTCTCTCTTTCTCTGATTAAGTAATCCCATTTCTGGAAATTCATCCATAAGAAATCCAAAATCAGGAAATTAAGATGTTCAGTGCATAGTTATTTATAATAGTAAAATATTTGAATAGGCTAATATGCCCTAGCTACATGCACACATACATACCACAGATGGAATATGTATCTATTAAAAATTAAAATTATAAAAACCATGGAGCAACATGAAAATGCTTATTACACAGAGGAAAAAGGTCAGATATACAATGACACTGCATTGTATATTTTTTCATCTCTAGGTTTCTATTCAGTTTGTTTTCCACTCTGCCTCTTCATTCTCCACACCATGAGATTCATCCCTTATGGTCACTGCTCCTTCCATCGTTTCCTTGGCATCTTTAGCATAGTCCCTTGAGTGCTTTGTCTCAGATTCTCTTCATGTGTTCTGCTATTTATTTCCTTGGGTTGTCTGTAAATTTTTCCTGTGAATACTTTTCATCTTCTTCAAGGATGGTTGTCTGTAGGACTTCACCTTTCCCTGGGAGGGTGGGGAAGGGGTATGATTTTCTTTGCCTTCCCAGACCGCAGTAATTTCAGCGGTCCCAGGCAGATGGTGTACATCTTTACCACTTTCTTGGGATGGTTGGTTGAGTTCGAATTGAGTACAAATCCTGAATTTGTGCAGGGAACTCAGTTCCCTTGCTAGGACCTGAGCATTGTCTCTTACCCATAAGGGGTTAGGTCCCCAACCCCAAAAGCCTTTACTGATCCCATGCCCATTGAGTCTTTGGGTTCAGCTCCTACCAGTCCCTAGGAGCTGCGTTGTTTCCAGCACCTAAACTTCCTTTCTGGCCCTCAAACTCTGCTGTGCATTGAAAAATAATTTATACTTTATTACTCATTTCTATATGTTTGTAATGGGATGTTCAATCCACCATACTGACCAAAAGTACTTCCTTATCTTTTCCATTTACTGTGACTATGAAAATATATATGCATATAATCTGACTGGAAGGGACTATAAAATGAAATGATTTGTTATGGGTTTATAGTAATCATTTTTCTTTTGAAAATATTCTGTGTTGTCATTATATTGTCTTTAAAACAGTAAGAATCATCTTTTTAACTATTGTCTCTTGTTTCAGAATGCATATACTACCACAGCCATTAATGGGACAGATTTTTGTACATCAGCAAAAGATGCACTCAAACTCTTATCTAAGAATTCAAGTCATTTCACATCTGTTAACTGCTTTGGAGACTTCATAATTTTTCTAGGAAAGGTGAGATGTCGTCACTAAAATAATAAACGAAGGAACTTGGGATCCCAAAATTAAGTCATTCAATAAGGCTTAACACGAGAACGAAGGTTTCTTGAGTGCTTACTCTATGGCAGAAGCTCCCTTATGTCTTTTAATACTCAGCCCTGCGAACTATCCCTGTGTTGCAGATGAGGACACTAAGGTTTAATAACTTGTCCAGGATCCCACCAGGCTTTGAATCCTGGTCTCACTCTCTTACCTGTCAGGTTTAATAACTTGTCCAGGATCCCACCATAGGTAGAGCCAGGCTTTGAATCCTGGTCTCACTCTCTTACCTGTGAGTCATGCTTTCTACTATTCTCAGTACCACTTTTTCATGTCTAAAATAAAAATGCTACTAGCCTCAGAAAATGGATAACTTTGGGGAGGGATGTCATATAATATATGGAAAAAGTATTGAAACCTGATAAAATGTCTACATTATGTGAGGGCATTAAATCCATAAGTAGACAGAATTGTTGATGTTACTAACGGAGCCAAGGTTACGTTTCTACCGTCACCTGAGTAGTCTGCAAGGAACTACCTGTAATCTTGTGGACAAAGGAGTGTCTTGGGGCTCCAGCATCTCATGGTGTGAAGGACGAGTCTTGAAGTTGGGATCTTTAACTCTGAACCTCAGTCGTCATACCTATAAACTAAAGATGACATATGCCTTTTCTAGGTCGAGGGGGGAGTAAGTGGAATATTGATGAAAGTGGTGTCCCAGCCCCACCTTACTCAAGCTTCAAGTTGGAGGTTCTTTTACTGTGCCACAGTGTGTCTCTTTCCATGTGATTGTCACCCACTGGGCCTAATTCTGCACCCTTGGTTCTCCTAACCCCACTTACACTTGACTGCCTTTCAAATTCTTGATCAGAGATGTTCTGACCTTCCTGCCACATCTTCGCTATTCCAAGCTAGACATCCTCGCTTCTTCCAAACATTCCTCCACATAGGACATGAATGCCGGGGTCTTTGGTGGTGCCCCAGAGTAAATAAGATCTCAGTTTCCAGTTGTGACCTGGAAATACCAAATATGGGGACTTTATTTATTAAAATATCGGCTCTTTATTTAGCATTTTGTATCTGTGGCATTTGGTGTCTCTCTTGTGCATTACTATCATAGTTAGCTGTGTTGGTAACAAGTTATGCCATGCTTGGATTGCACAGGTGTGTGTTAATTACGCATATATTTTAAGGCTCAGCTGGGCCCTCGAGACTTTCCATGTGACATTAGCTTAGAAGCACAAACTGCTTATGCCTTTCAAAACAGCCCAAATAATCTTAGTTTTGGCTGTATTTAAATGGCTAATATTATTTATGTTATCTTGGTAGGATTATAGGTGATATATTTTCTAATAACTACTTCCAGACATTTTTGGAGTGGGATTTCATCTTTACAAAAGATTTATCTTTTATTTTAAGCAACAATCCATTTTCATATACTTCCTGTCAAGAACACATAATTGTTAATAATATTCTAATGAGCATGTGAAATTGGTGATTCTTTGTTGTTGTTGTTGTTTTTGAGTGAAGTAGCATTCAGACAGTCATGTCCATCTTTGTGGATATCCAAGGGCAATGCAGACTCCAGATGTGCTCCATCTTGTCTTTTAAAGAATTAGGTACACCCTAGCCTTTAATCCTGTTCCCGGAAATATAATTATTACATATAGCCAAGCCTGGAGTAATCCTATTATCTCCCCACACCAGCATTGAAAAACCCTTTTGTTTAATCCCTAAGGTAAAAATAATCACATATTAAATTACAATGTATCCACTCAATGGATTCATCGTACTGTTGTTAAAAAATGGCATTTATGAAAAAGTTTTTAAATGAGGATGCTTATTGTGATGTTAAGAGAAAAAACAAGTTTACGAAGTATCATTATATCTATGTAAATATAAAACTAGGCACAGGTAGAATGAAAGTACATATACTCTTCCCATCTTCCGAATTAATTAAGTTTTTTTGTATCATAGCTTTTCATTTCTTTTCCCTATTTCATGCTACCAAATTTTCTGACAAGCATTTTTTACAATGGGGTACCCACAAACGCTCCCACACACATGCGTGTATATGATACTATGGTATCTAACAATCTTTTTTACAATATTCTAACCAACCAGTTTATAAAGATTTGCAAAAAACTCTTGTTTTGACAGGTCTTAGTGGTGTGTTTCACTGTTTTTGGAGGACTGATGGCATTTAACTACCACCGTGCACTCCAGGTGTGGGCAATACCATTGCTATTGGTTGCTTTTTTTGCCTACTTTGTGGCCCATAGTTTTTTATCTGTGTTTGAAACTGTGCTGGATGCACTTTTCCTGTGTTTTGCTGTTGATCTGGAAACAAATGATGGATCATCAGAAAAGCCCTACTTTATGGACCAAGAGATTTTGGTAAGCAGACATTTCATTTCCTGTTGTAATCTCCATCTTCATAAAAGTGTTGAGAACTGACGTATAAAGGAGGCACGTACCTATCTTCACCTTCGTTTCCTGGGGGCTCTCTGAGCGTTTCCCACATGGCGTGAATGTGTCCTATGAGTGAGACATGGGCTGTTTTCTGAGGCTGAACCCACCTCTCTTATTGTAACCTTCTCCTTGGAGGCAAATGAAGCTGAACCATTAACACTGACCAAGTGACATTGGGTCGGAGGTGTTCTGGACACAGTAGCAGTCCAAGTCCCTTTGGTGCTAATGGCTTGGTCTGGCCTTTCAGATGATCTGGAGGTTTAACAGCTGATCTTTTCTAAAGCATTTTTGTGTCACCAAGTGTCACGTCGAACTTATTATATGTTAGGGGCACACACTCCAGTGAAGAGTAATCCCCATCTGTGCTAGTATGGACAGATCTGCAATCTCAGGCCCTTTATTAACCCAAGCAGACCACCACAAGAAAAGCCACACCCTCAGCGGAGGCCCACGCTGCCTCAGTCTGGAAATAGCAGGCAGCTGTTTCCAACAGCTTTTGCAACACAGTTGTTATTTGCCTTATCCTGTGTAGACAGGGATATTTTAAGAGCTGTATGAAGTCTCTCATCTCTTTCCGTTGTCTGGGTTATGATGTTTTAATAATTTTCTTTTATTCTATTGCAATAAAATTTAGATATTAAAGTCCCTTTGCTTTTAAACAAAGCAGACCATCCTTCCATTCAGCCAGCCACTGAAGTTCAACGGGCACTTCTATAGTTTTATAAGTAATGTGTCCTCATCCTTCTCCATATAAAATGTAAAAACACCATAGCAGATTAGCTAATTTGTGCATACTCTCAAGCAAATATTTCTGATGGTGGTATGAAGCTAACCAGGTCTTCTTTTTCTGATTTACACTTTATTGATTAAAAATTGGAATTAAAAATCCACTGTGAAATCTAACCCCCAAAATATTTTAATTCAACAAGGGAAACTTTTTAAAGAAATTCCCCAAAATGATATGTCCAAGTGAATGGTTGCCCACAATGTAGACACACAACCCTGGTCTAACTCATTCTTTTGTTTTTCAGAGTTTTATAAAAAGGATCAATAAATTAAATAATGCAAGGGCACAGAGAGATAAGAACTTAAGGAACGAAGAAGGAACAGAACTCCGGCCCATTGTGAGATAAGCGCCCATTAGGTATTTGTACCTGGAAAAAGTTTCCCTCCTTTAAGAGACGTTCACAGAATAAATGATAAACCCTGATAGACTGTATTCTTCTTCTTCATTCTTTGGTCCATATTGTTTGGCCATGTTACAGTATTAGGATCATAAAAGTTTACAACCTTTATGTACCTAATGAGACAGAAAAACCTTTTAAGACCATGTTTATATGCATCAGTTAAAAAGTACACTATGTAAACACTTATTTCACGGCACTGATGAAAAGCATATCCCTCACCGACAACCAGTAAATAAACCTTAGCAGAAATCTCTGGAATGCTGCCCTAGTATAGAGCAGGACTTCCCAACTCAACCCAATCCTGGAACTGCGCTAAATGTGTTATAACTTTGCAAAGTATAATTCTTAGATTTTGTGACAATAAAAACCAAAACTGCCACCTGATGGGCATGGTCTAAAACAGAGGCAGAAGTTTAACCAGATATGACTTCAGTTGGTTAAAAGTACAAGGCTACTTCTTACAAATTAACAAACATTCTGGAAAAGTGATTTTCAACCACAGCCCCACTGGAGAATCACCTGGAAGAAGGTTTATAATACTTCTTCCTGGACTCCATCCCTAGAGAATTAGATTCAATGGCAGTAGGTGTGTTGCGGGGGGCAGGTTTCCTTTTTAAAGCTTTAAACAAATAGGAATACTTAACATGTTGACTGTCAGGCTCACTTCAGTTAGGTGAGCAGGTAAACAGAAGGACCAGTCTGGCTTCTTTGTGGGACAAGCAATGCATAATAATTTTCAGGAAGGTGGCTTCCTGAAACTCCTCTTCAAAGATGGCAAGAAAGAGCTCGCTGCTCAGGTCTACTTTAACAAATGTAAATTACCACCTTTTTCTTAAACAGCACTATGGAATGAGTTGAACTCCAACAGTCTCCTTTAGGAAAGAAGTTTACAGAGCAGTTTCTGGAAATTCATTAGTCACTGTGGCATGATAAGTAAGTAGACCATTTTTGTGGGTGCAGCACACCCTGTGCATGTCCTCGTTATCTGCCTTAACAAAACACAACCAGGCACACTTCACCCTTAGCCCAAACAGAGCCAATCCTATCAGAAGGAATCACTGGGTGAGAAAATGTCAGAAAGTGTGAGTTGCCAAGTTTCTTTTAGTGAATGGATTTTTTTTTTTTTTTTGTCATTACAACTCGCTTAGCCATTTGTCCTTCACTGTGTCATGACTGAAGGTTCTGTCTAATACTTCATACTATAAACCCTAGTTAATCATCAAACAGCATATCTTATTCATGATCTGGTATGTTTCTTTTTTTAAAAGTATATGTTTATTAGAAATTAGAAATGAATAGATGAAAAATTGTTTTAAAATAATGGCATTGTGATTTAAAAATTTTATTCATTTAAACATTTTGTGTGCTATATTTCTATGTAATTGCATTCCTTTTAAAAATTTATCTTTCAATTATAGTTGATATACAGTATTATAAAGTTTCAGGTGTATAATATAGTGATGAGACGCGTATACCTTGCAAAGTGAACACCTGGTAAGTCTAGTACATATTTGTTACAATATTATTAACTATATTCCCTATGCTGTACTTTAGATCCCCATGACTTTTTATAACTGGCAATTAGTACTCCCGAAGCCCTTCACCTTTTTTACCCATTCCCCCAAGTACCCTCCCATCTGACAAGTATCAGTTTGTGCTGTTATCTGTGAGTTTGTTTTTTAGATTCCACAGGTAAGTGAAATCATACAGTATTTTTCACGCAATACCTGCTAGTTCCATCCACATTGTTGCAAATGGCAAGATTTCGTTCTTTTTTATGGTAATATTTTATTATATATATTGATACTCCAAATTTTTATCCATTCATCTATCGATAGACAGCTAGATTGCTTCCATATCTTAACCATTGTAAATAATGCTGCATTGAACATAGGGGTGCATATATCTTTTCAAATTAGTGTGTAGATTTCCTCAGATAAATATCCAGAAGTGTAATAGCTGAATCATATGATAGATCTACTTTAACTTTTTGAGGAACCTCCATACTCTTTTCTATAGTGGCTGCACCAATTTACATGCCCACCAACAATGAACGAGGGTTCCCTTTTCTCCACATCCTTGCCAACACTTGTTGATTTATTAATAACAGCCATTCTGACAGATGTCAAGATATCTCATTGTGATTATAATTTGCATTTCCCTTATGATTACTGAAGTTGAACATCATTTCACATGTGGGTTGGCCATCTGTATGTCCTGTATGGAGAAATGTCTATTCATATCCTCTGCCCATTTTTTAATTGGGTTAATCGTTTTTTTGATGTTGAGCTATATGAGTTCTTAATAAATTTTGGATATTAACTCATTATCAGATATATCATTTGCAAATATCTTTTCCCATTCAGTAGGTATCTTTTTGTTTTGTTGATGTAGTCCCATTTGTTTATTTTTGATTTGCTAAGCCAGTGTCAAAGAGTTTACTGCCTATGTTTTCTTCTAGGAATTTTAGGAAGTTTCAGGTCTTATATTTAAATCTTTAACCCATTTTGAGTTTATTCTTGTGTATGGTATAAAAAAGTTGTCTAGTTTCATTTTTTCCCCCATTTATCTGTCCAGTGTTCCCAACACTATTTATTGAAGAGACTGTCTTTATCCCTTTGTATATTCTTGCTCCTTTGTCATAGATTGACCATATAGGCATGGGTTTATTTCCGGGCTCTCTATTCTGTTCCATTCATCTATGTGTCTGTTTTTATGCCAGTACCATGCGGTTTGATTACTGTAGCCTTGTCGGATATACTTTGATATCAGGTAACATGTTATGTCTAACTTTGTTCTTCTTTCTCAAGATTGCTTTGGCTGCTCTGGGTTTTCTGTGGTACCATAGAAATTTTAGGATTATTTGTTCTAGTTCTGTGAAAAAATGCCATTGATGTCTTGATAGGGATTGCACTGAATCTGTATGTTGCTTTGGGTAATAGAGACATTTTAACGATGTTAGTTCTTCCAATCCATGAACACAGAATATTCTTCCATTTGTTTTTGTCTTCTTCAAGTTCTTCTGTGTCTTATAGTTTTCTGAATACAGGTCATTTACCTCCTTGATTAAATTTATTCCTAGGTATTTTATTCTTTTTGACGCAATTCCAAATGGGATTGTTTTCTTAATTTTTCTCTGATAATGTTATTGTATAAAAATGCAACTGATATCTGAATATTAATTTTGTATCCTGCTACTTTATTGAACTCATTTATCAGTTCTAATAGTTTTTTGATAGACTCTTTAGGATTCTCTATAGTATCATGTCATCTGCAAATAATGACAGTTTTACCTCTTCTTTTCCAATTTGGACACCTTTTATTTCTTTTTCTTGGCTGATTGCTATAGCTAGGACTTCCAGTATTATGTGGAATAAAAGTGGTAAGAGAGGACATCCTTGTCTTGTTCCTAATCTTAAAGAAAAAGCTTTCAGCTTCTTACCATTGAGCATGATATTAGCTGTGGGTTTGTCACATATGGCCTTTATTATGTTTGAGATATGTTCCCTCTATTCCCACTTTGCTGAGTTTTTATCATAAATGGATGCTGGATTTTGTCAAATGCTTTTTCTGCATCTATTGATAGAACATAGGTTTTGGCTTTCATTTTCTTCATGTGGTGTATCATATTAATTGATTTGCAGATATTGAACCAACCTTGTTTCCTGGGACTAAATCACACTAGATCATGGGGTATGATCATTTTAATGAATTGCTGAATTTGGTTTGCTACTCTTTTGTTGAGGATTTTTGCATTTGTATTCATCAGGGATATTGGCCTATAGTTTCCATTTTTTGTAGTGTCTTTGTCTGGTTTGAGTATCAGGGTGCTTACCTCATACAATGAGTTTGTAAGCTTTCCCTCCTCTTCATTTTTTGGGGTTAATTTGAGAAAGATAGTTATTAATTCTTCTTCAGATGTGAGGTAGAGTTCACCTGTGAAGACATATGGTTTGTTGGTAGTTTTTTGGTTACTGATTCAATTTCATTACTAGTCTGTTCGGATTTTCTGTGTCTTCTTGATTCAGTCTTAAAAATTCGTGTTTCTAGGAATTTTTTCGTTTGTTCCAGGTTGTCCAATTTGTTGACATATAATTGTTTGTAGTATTTTCTTATAATCCTTTGTGTTTCTGTGGTGTTAGTTGTCACTTCTCTTTCATTTCTGATATTCTTTATTTGGGGCCTTTTTTTCTTGATGAATGTGGCTAAAGGTTTATCATTTTTATTCATATTTTCATAGAGCCTGCTCTTGGTTTCATCGATCTTTTAGTTTTTTAAAATTATTTATTATATTCACATATGATCTTCCTACTTTTGTCTTTTAACCTTCATACTAGTTTTATATTTGGTTGATCCATTACTTTTACGAAGTGTTTACCTTTGTTAGTGAGATTTTTTCTTTCCTATATATTCTTATTTTTAGTTTGGCCTTTTCTACTTAAAGAAGTCCCTTTAACATTTTCTGTAATGCTGGTTTAGTGGTGATGAACTCCTTTAGCTTTTGCTTGCCTGGGAAACTATCTCTCTTTCGATTTCAAATGATAGCCTTGCTGAGCAGAGTAATTTTGGCTGTAGGTTTTTCATTTACATCACTTTGAATATTTCATGCCAGTCCTTTCTGACCTGTAAAGTTTCTCTTGCAAAATCAGCTGACAGTCTTACGAGAGCTCTCTTGTAGGTAACTAATTGCTTTTCTCTTGCTACTTTTAAGGTTCTCTCTTTGTCTTTAACCTTTGGCATTTTAATTATGATGTGTCTTGGTGTGGGCCTCTTTGGGTTCATCTTATTTGGGACTCTCTTCACTTCCTGAACTTATATGTCTATTTCATTTGTCAGGTTAAGGAAATTTCAGTCATTGTTTCTTCAAATAGGTTTTCAATCCCTTTCTGTTTCTTCTTCTGGACCCCTATGATGTATGCTTGATGTTATCCCAGAGATCCCTTAAACTATCTTCATTTTGGGGGATTCTTTCTTGCTCTTCTAATTGAGTGTTTTCTTCTACCTTATATTCCAAATCACTGATTCAGTCCTCTGCTTCATCTAATCTGTTGCTTCCCTCTAGTGTGTTTTTCATTTGTTATTGCACTCTTTAGTTTTGATTGGTTCATTTTAATGTTTTCTATCTCTTTGTTGAAGTTCTTCGTGAATTCATCTATTCTCTTCCACGTTCACTGAGCATCCTTATAACCAGTGTTTTGAACATATCTGGTAAGTTGCTTGTCTTTGTTTCATTTAGTTCTCTTTCTGGAGTTTTGTCCTGTTCTTTCATTTGGAGTATGTTTGTCTCCTCATTTTGGCTGAGTCTTTGTGTTTGTTTCTGTTTGTTTCTAGGTAAGTCCACTGTGTGTCCCAATCTTGAAAGAGTGGTCTTATGTAGGTGTCCTATGGGGCCTAATGGCACAGTTTCCCCTAGTTACCCAAGCCCAGTTCTCTAGGGGTATTTCCTGTGTAGGTTATATGTGCCTTCCTGTTATAGCCGGGCTTTTCACTGCTGGTGGCACATTGGTGGGTGGAGCTTCCCCTCAGGCTGACTGGCTATGATGGCTTTCCACAACTACAGCAGATGAGCTGTTGTGTAAGGGCTGACTCTATTGAATGAAAGTCACTTTAAAAGGGTTCTGTCGCCAGCCAAGGCCATTCATTTGGTGTGTCAGTTGTGGAGGTGGTTGAGTGGACCTGGTGTGGTCTGAAGCCAGCCACCAGGTGTGTTGGGTTTGGATACTCTTGGGAGGGGCTCTGTTGTAGGCTGAGGCCAACATCCTCTTGAGCTGTGATCTGTGCTTGGTAGGATCTATGATCTGTGGTTAGTTGCTGCTTGTGCTGGACTTGGAGGTGCTTGAGAGGGGCCACAATGTGAGCCGAGGCCAG